AGTCCCTTTGTCTGTAATTTGGGTGGTACTGTGGCCCTTCAGCTGGTCCTTGGATGGTCTGAAGAGGTCATCATGCTGTCTCTCCGGAAGGACAGCATCCATACAGCCTGTTCACTGAGCCAGGATTTGTGCATTGGGTCCTCCATTATGCAATTGCAAACTTATTTATCAGAGGTCTGTGACTTTGCCAAATTTGAGCCAGTTTTCACAGAAGCAGAAGTCATGTCCATAGCTCAAATGCTGTTCACGACCTTATCAAACAAATCCCTGCTCTAAGGTTAAAAGTAAAAATTAAGTTATGAGTAGCACAGTAGAATAGCAGATTTTCCACAGCTATAGTCCCTAAAAGAATGCAGTTTAGGATATTTCAACTCTAAATTTTAAAATAAGCAAAGACAAGACAGAAAAGAAAAGCTCTTTGAAATTTGAAATGAAAATCAACTAATAAAAACTGACTTTGATACCAGGTGAYGCTACAGTTCTTCCCTACAATTAGGGCTGTGTTCTCAGTGGAAACTCAGCTAAAGGATGAGTTAATATTTACACACACAACCCTCARAATCCAGGGATCATGAAAGACCTGGGATGTGATGTACCTAGATACAGATGTAGCTGCTTGTGTTTAGCAGAACTAGGAAAACCAGCTGAACTGTGTATGTGAGTGTTTAGGGAAGAATTAGTTATCTCCTTCTATCTAAAGTTTTGTACTGCACTACCCACAACCACCGAGGAGGGTTTTAGTCATAGTAAACCAACATTTTTGCATGGACAATATGGCTTCTTTATAAGGTTGGGAGTGGTTTGCTGTTGGAATCTGTACCATTGCTGCAAGTCTGTCTGACTGTATCTTATCTGTGTACSTTGTCTGTGAAAGAAACAGGTAAGCTTGCTACTGAAGTTCTGCAGATTTAGGAACATTGGATTCAAGATACAGGCTTCCCATCTGCTGTTGTACAAGTTATTTTGGTTTCGTATTTATAAAATTAATACTTATTTCACAAGGACATTGTAAAGGCAAATTAAAGAYTTGTGATCAAGGGATGGCACGAAASCTAAGTTTGCCTCCAGACTGCAGACCTGACATGACATCTCTGTGCCTCAAGTCCCCTTGGTGAAACATAAGGATAATATTTCCCCSCACACCCTTTATTTGTTTAGATTGTCAGTAGAGCTGGTTGGAAAAATTCTGACATGTTTTTAATTGAGGATTTGCTGACTCATCAAAATCTACTGTTTCAATGAGAACCCTACTCAGCTTCCTGACAGCTTGCTGACCTGGATCCTTGGCAGAGATCTGGGAAGTGCTGGGAGCTATAGCTCTCAGGGCTTCCAGGCTTGTTCTTCCTTGATAGCTGGAGCTCTCAGTGTCTACAGCTGTGGGACAGCYTGCTGTGCAGGGACTCTCGTGGCTCACGGCTCTGGGGCAGTCCACCTCCAGTTTCCTGGAAATGCACTTTCACACCTTTTTTTTCTGAACAGGGTATTGTTCCCAATGGAAGGACATTATATTATGAATTAACAGAWTTTTTTGAAAAACACAGTTAACCTTGTCTATTGAACTTTTCAGATTGAGATTGTGTTTTGCTTGAMTGCTGATAAATTGCTTAAGACAAAGGTAAGTACATCCCTGTGTTTAAAAAGCAATAAACTATGTCGAAAGAAGAGTAGCACAGCAGTTAGTCCTTTCACCAGATTATCAACTTCAAGCCCCTTGCATTGAGAAAAGCTCAAATATCTGGGGCTCAAATATTAGGAATCAGGTCGAGGGAGTTGATTGTCCCACTCTGCACYGGTGTGGCCTCACCTTCAAGTCCTGTATGCAGTTTTGGGCACCWCTATATAAGAAAGGACATTAAGCTACTTGAGAGTGTCCAAAGGAGGACAACAAAGATGGGGAAGGGCCTTGAGGGGAAGCTGTGTGAGGAGTGGCTGAGGTCACTTRRTCTGTTYAGCCTGGAGGAGACTGAGGGGAGAGCTCAGTGCAGTTAAGGAAGTTGTTGTAACAACTTCCTCGTGAGGGGCAGAGGAGGGGCAGACACTGATCTCTTTTCTGTGGTTGACAGTGACAGGAYCTGAGGGAATGGCCTGAAGTTGTGCTAGGRGAGGTTTGGGTTGGATATTAGAAAAARGTTCTTCAAYCAGAGGAWGTTTGGGCACTGGAASWGGCTCCMCAGGGCTGTGGTCACAGCACCAAGTCTGACAGAGTTCAGGAAGTGTTTAGACAATGCTCTCAGGCATGTGGTGTGACTTTTGGGGTGTCCTGTGCAGGACCAGGAGTTGAACCTCGATGAGCCTTTACAACACAAGATACTCTATGATTCCTACCTAGCTAGTCTTCTATACTTTTCATGAAGTTTATTATGAGACTTCTTTCCTGAAGTTTCTTCAGTCTTMTTTATCCAGAAGTAAGTAAATCTAAAATTTCTCCAATCTCTCATTTCTAAGCCACAATTTCTAAATCTCTTCTCATATTACTTGTGGTTTTTTTTACTAACCCTGTTCTATAAGCTTCATGAAAACCTTCCCTAAGCAGAACAGAACAGAATAGTTATTTYATGTTTTACAAATACTTTTGCTTAGAGAGATAAGAACCAAGCAGCCATAAAGGGCAAATCAAAATGATAAACCAGGTGTGAGCAWACAAGACCATTGGATCAAAGCAATAAACCCAGCACCACTAGTATTCTATCTGAGTAGACTTTTGGAAAGGAATAGTATGTAAAAAAAAAAAAAAGAAGAGTGGTATTGTTGTCTCAAAGGTGGCTGCAGTACCCTCAGAAAGGACAATCTCCCATATACCCTGTGGACTGTAAAACTGAGGACATAATATGCTGTAAATGCACTCTTTGTGACATACATCTATCTCCTCCCCACAGATATAATCATTCTGTTCAGAGTTCTGGAGAGGAGAAGCTAGAAACAGAGCTGGGAATCAACATCACAGGCTGCAGAAATTATGTTCTTACTCCAAAGGGGCCTGCAGGGATATGTCACACTGGTGCAACAGGGATTGCTAATATAATCCAGAGTAAATGCAAGTTATCCATTTCTACCTTGGGCAATACAAAATGTATTMATTTTGCATTAACCTACTTGAAATGCCTGGATGGAGGAATTTATTGACTTTTTAAATTACTGCTCTTCTACCAGGAGTGCTTTCATGGTCTACTGAGGATAGGCAGAATGTGCTGTGTGCACGAAGAAAACAGATAACATTGATTCTGCAGCTTGCAAAGTTTCAATTATATCAATAAATGGTGTTATATTTAGAAAGACTATTCTGGATAGTCTTTCAATCTGACTTCACAGTACTTAAAAATCTATTTTTGATGGAAAAAATTATCAAAGAGACTAAAATTGCAGTAAAAGAGGGTAAAATGCAAATTGCATTTTAATACTCTTTAGTAAGGTAACTGAAAAATTGCAGTAAGAGCTAACATCTTCTCTAGAGGACTCAATACAGTGTCAAAYGGAAGATTAGTAATTCAGATGGAGAACCTCAAGATCAGCATTAGAACTGTAGGCAGGGTGAGGAACTGGCTAAAGAGGAAAGAAAACTACTGTGAGTTCCTCAAAGTCTTGAGCCTGATATGCTTAAATGTTTTCTGTAAWGGCTTTGTCACAAAAAGTAGGTCTGTGTTATTGTTCTTTCTCAGTGGCACAAAGCTGGGTAGCTGGTGAGGACAGAGGAGGTAGAAACACCTGACAGTAATGGCAGTGGCCCATCAGATTAGTGCCTGGGGTGTGCTGGTTCATGTGTAGACACAGTGAAATTTTTATCAAACCTCCATGCTTACTTAAAGAGAAACAAAGTAATTATTCCTGTTCACTTGCTTGTCTTGYTCGTTTTGACATAGCTGACAGTTAAACTAGAGGCAGAGTATCCAGAAACACAACTGAGGGAAAGCTGCAGAAAATTAGCCTTATGTTTTTATCTTGTTGTCTGCTTTGCCAGTTCTTTTTCTAACTATTTTTTAACCATGCTGACTTTTACATTAATACACTAAGTTACAATTTCTTGTTAATATAGTGGCATTCTTTTTGGCTACCCAGTAACATTTGTTAAAATTACCCTCAATACTCCTTTCCTAATCCTGTGGTGATGTATTATTGTGATTTAACTTTGCACTTCAGTTCTAGCAGAGGATGCCAGCACACTCCTTTATGGAATGTGTGCATATTTTTCTGTCTGAGCTAACAAGCAAGGTCACTCTAACCTTGCTAGGATAGTAAAGCCTTTTCTGTTTATCGGCAGAATGATAATGCAGTYCTTGTGTATCAAATAAATGTCTTAAAATTACATCCTTCCCAATGCAACTCTGTAAAGGCAAAACACAGAAGGTTAATGAGGTAGATGAGAACTAGAGAAATGGAAGCATAATTAAATGTAATTGTGCAAAATGGAAGTCAATGCACTAGAAGATTAATACTAGGTAATTCTGTTAGATGACAGAGCTTATMACTTGGGAACAAGATCTTCCTAACAGGTGCAGAGAGGAAACAAAGCCTAAGTAGTTTTAAGATGGAGCTTGATAACTTTATAAATGGATTATTACATGGTCCTGAGACAGCAGACAACTGGGATTTGATGACCCAGATAGTCCTTTCTGTGTTCCCTTTTTRGTGGTGGTGCTGCTGAGGGAAGAGCCAGTCATCTCTGGCAGGAGGGAGAGGTGCATATAAGAAGCTGTGAATCAGGTTTCACGTGTTTTTTAAAAGGTCTGTGGACTATTCAAAACCTCAAAGAAATAAAGTTTTCAGACGTATGCGAAAGGAAAGGCTTCTGGTCTCATACAGAAAGTTTTTGTCCTTGTGATCCAAATTRAGGAGTGGATCTTGGTCCCTAGGCCAGACTATCTGGGAAACCAAATTAGGGATACCTGGTAAGAACATGTGGTGTGGAGCARGAAAGCTGAGTAGGCAGTGGGAGAAGGGGGTTCTGAATCTGTGTGGGGTGGTGGTGTACACCCTAAAAGGTCTTTCTAAGGTATAATTTTGCAAAATCGGACTCTTCTTATGTATAAGGAAGACTCCGACAAAAAAGTTTATTTCCAGAAGTTTACAGGTTGTTGAAAAATGTCTGGCTGATAACCAAGAGATCAAAATGTCTGAGTCACAGGGATGGGGTTTGTATGCAGCACATATGCAAGCTCTTAAAAACCCAAAACTTGATCTGCCGATTACATGGGGAAAAACCAGGAGAAAGAAGTCACATATCATTTTCAGAGTAAGAAAATCCTTAGATTATACAGACAGAGCAGTAGGATTAAGATTTGCTTTCCGAAGTATAACTACCAATCATTCAAATTTATCCTAGGATATTTGCTGGTGGGCTATAATAGCCATTTACAGTATTAACAAAAATACACACATAACATTTCCTGTTTTGTAACATTTTTTGGTTGTAAAAAATAAGTAGCAGTATTACATTAATAGATACTTGAAGCCATGCATTTATTTCCATATAAATTCACTTTATTTTAGTCAAGCTATTATTTAAATAACTTGTCTATCCTTTTAAAGTAAGACTYAAAATATTCTGCCCCAAACTGAAGAATACCAGTACTCTCATTACTCTCATATTTGAAAGTGAATAATATTATACATCTATTTTACAGACACGACTTTTAGGAGAATATGTTGCCTGACATTCACAAATGTAAAACATTTAAATGAAGAAAAGAATGAATGGAATTCCTTTCACACAATTATAGCACTATAATTAAAGACAGAATATATATTAATCATTTCCTTTAAAACCAAAAAGGAACTTTGAAATCCCACAGGTCATTAAGTTGGCAACTCATTAAAAACAAGACATTTCCCATGCAGCAGCACAARTGTACTCCTTAGTTTCACAGAATCCAGTCCTGTAAAGTTAAATCCATAAGAGAAAAAAAGTCAGTTGAAGTGATGAATGCAGTTATATTTCCATCCTTCTGTTGTAATAAGCATGTATGTATATGAACAGATAATTTCCAAAATGTTTCATCAGTCAGTGCCAGCATAGAAGACTGATAACATTCATCTAACTTGGCTTTGAAAATACAAAAACCCAAATATTAGAAGATCATGYAATATCCCATTTCCAGCTGAAGGGGTCCATTTCCTTATGATCTTTTACTTTCCGTCACTGCTGGAGATATCGTAATCATATTCTGGCCTGAGCAATTCACCAGAGTCCTGAAACCTTACCCAGAAATTCTTTTCTCATGGGAACTTGTTTAGGGAATCTCCAAAGTCCTAATTATTTCAATGCAGAAAGCCTCTGTGGTTACGTCACCTGCAAGAAAATTACAAAGGCATTTAATGTATCATTGGCCAAATCCCAGGTACAGTCAGGAAGACATTTCTACTTGTTCATAMGATTGCAGGAATTTATGTCAGTGATGGTCTTTTCTCGGATGTGTTTGCTGTTGATCACAATGGTTAATTGAACCACATGTTCACTGAGTTACTCTGGGGCTTTTTCCTTGCAGGCAATTCTACAGAGGCAATAATTTTAAGTAGGATTTAATTAGAAGTACTGTGACATGTTTTGATTGTATTCATACTGGGTGAGGAATGTCCCTTTTCCCCCTGTTGGGTTGAAGCTCTGAGTGCCTGGCTCAGCAGGGAAGGGGCTRTGGGAAGTGATGACATTTGCTGTTGTTCGGTTATTATTAGTGCTACCCTGCCAGGAATGCTGTGAGTTGGGTGGAAATGATATGGTGGCCAGAGTAAACCCATTGAGGACACAATAACCCTTCCAGGGGCTTTATGGAGTCAGAGAGATCATCATGCCAGCTGCCTACACCCCTCATGGCTGACCTCACCTCCCTACCCTGTCTACCCAGTCTAGCAGGTTTAAAGGACTTTGCAGCTCCAGAATAGCACAMATCCCTACTGCACAGTCTTTCATGGAGGCTTTCTCACTGCCAGGGTGAGATGGGAGGACAAATGYACTCTGAAACAATAAAAACCTCCAAGAAACTGTATTGATTTTCCCCACCCCATTTTCAGTGGCAGGCTTGCCATTTAGGAAAATGAATGTTCATTTATCTCGTTAACTGCGTTGTGTAGAAACTCTCATCTTAGTCCTTCACAGTCTAGTGCTGAGGATTCTGATAATTCTTTTCTTATGGGGAAATTTCACAATATAAATTGGGTATAGAGCAGGCCTGCTCTCCTCAGGTTTAGGAGAGCTGAGCTGGGATTTAGATGTGACCACAAGTTGATCAAGCAGATGATTCCACAGAAAATTAACCTGTCGAAACAAGAAAAAAGGCTAATCGTTCTCCCAAATCAGCAAGCTGATCTATCACAGTGTGCCCATATTGGATTGGGTCTCCTGCAGAGGAGGTGGTGGGACCACCCTTTTTTGGCTACAGACAGCCATCACACCAACTTAGTGTGTATCTCACTCCTCTGAATAATGGTTTCCTTTGAAGAGGCAAGAAATTTAAGTTCCTACCCAYTTGCTGCAGATTTTCCAGGGAGGCTGTCTCCATGTTCCCATTTTATTGAACTCATCAGCGAGAACCCCATTGCTGCCAACAGAGAGGATCTGAATTCTCAGAAAACATTTCTTAAAGCAAATATGGGTATGGGAGGAGCAACTGACCTTCATCCCTCAGAGTGTGAAACAGAGGACAGTGGATAAGACAGAAGCAACTACAAATTAAACGCAGTTTTAAAAATAGCCTATGAAATTGCTGGGGTTTCACCTTGACTTTATTATATGATGAGATTTTTGACAGTGRCCCTGCTGAAATTCATGGAAATTCTCCTTGTATTGAGGGAGATTTGTATTCTGTCAGTTTGTGATCACCCAGATACATTTTCTTTGCACCATTTTGCCAATTTTAGTTTCCTTTATGCATTTAAACAAAGATTTCTTTCTCTCTAMACATTGCTTTTACGGCCTTAGGAGCATTGCCAAGCTTGTGCCCTTTTTAATTCTTTGCAGCTAGGCTGGAGCTTTTAATTCATGATATTTAAATAACATTTCAGCTYGATCATTTAACTCTTTCCTATCTCAGCTTACTTCCACATTTAGCTACATAGTAGATTGTACCTAGAATAATATTAAGGCTTGAACCTTGAACCAAGCCTTCRTAGCATATTACTTCTGTTTGGAAAACATGCATTTGGCTTTTGGGTTCTGTAAGAACTCACTCCATGCCAAATGGGAGCAGCATTTTGAGTTTAATCCATCAGAGTGAATTGCATTATAGCCTACAGAGATAGGGACATGCAGAAGAAAAACACTGCACAGAAGGGAGATGAATGGAATTGCCAGTTCAGAGGCTGTGGCTCATACTATGACTATTCAAATGAATGCTTAACTAGTAAAGGAGTTCCACTTGAAAAACAAGATTGGAAAGAGAAGAAACTGGGCCAAGGAGCGCGAGTGCTTACAAAGTACTTTTTGACAATAAGATAGTAGCTGTAAAAATTCTTTTTTCTTTTTTTCTTCTGACTTCACAGAAACTCCTGTGATTATCCTGCATAACTGCAAGTACATTATACTGCTTGGTGCATTCTTAGTGCTCTTTCCAAGGAGGAAGGAGTGTTTTATATCAAGGCTATAGTGTATATGTATATTAAAGTAGTTATTTCTCTTTACCTTTGTTCCGGCTTCCATTCCTACTGTCATAACAGCAGAATTATTTTACTGGTGTGCTGGTATAGGTATCTCAATTATCATTCAAAAAYTCCCTGAATGAGAGTAGGTGCTGGCCACTACATAAAGAGATCAGGCTTATCTTTACCAATAGCCATGGAGCCACGGCTTCTCTTTCCTCATTATTTGCTTAATATAGAGGTAATCTGTGATGTATAGACTGTTGCTAAGTAAACTACAGAACACTCACTGACTGGATGACTTGGATTTTTTTTTTGTTGATCAACTTTGATACAAAGGTTTTTTTATGTTCCCACATTCTGTCTGCAATGGATTCCAGAAAAAGCAATATCCTGTCCCCTCCACAATGTGAAACTACCAAAGTCTTCAACAATGTTGTGAGAGGTGGCTGTGCAAAGAGCTCTCTTTTCCTGTGCACAGTCAGATCTTCTCTGTGATGMGGAATTTTCCATTATCTCAACAGCCTCTTTATCTGGACCAACTGAAATTGAGTCAGTGTAAAAAGGAGGTATTTTTGAAGTGAGCCATACTTCGTTCAGTGTTCAAGCATTTAAGTGGGTGCAGAGTTTGCATACCATGTAACAAATCTGTGAACAGTCTGTGATAGTAATACTCATGGAARTACTGGCTTTTTAAGGAATCAGCATTTTGGTATTGCATATATCACAGACAATTTGCATTCATTTTGTATACAAATTTGCCACTGCATAGGTACAAATTTAAAGTTACTTTGATTTAAAGCATCAAAAGAAAGCAAATGTGAATTCCTGCATGCATCTCAGCTTTGTTTTATGTATGCTAAACCATTTCACTGTGTTCTTAGTATTAGGAATCACACACTTTATACTGTGGAGGTTCTCTAAGTTGCTGGAGTCCTATGGGGTTAGGACTTTCCCTTCTCATGCTCCTTGTTTACAGAAAGTCATTGCCATCTAATATTAGGAACTCAACACCCCCACCAGTTCCTGGGCCGAATTTAAAAATGTTTGTTTTGAAACTGGTCTTTCATTACTGCTCAACTAGTTTTCTGTAGACATGAGGCCATGCATAAAATCATCTCATCTAAATGCTCTGTACTTTTAAAAGATACAATGGCATAATGTGATTTTCTGTTTTCACATTTTTCACATGAATATTTTTCTGGCCTATGTAAAATAAATGGTCTGGGTCTCTCAACTGAGCTGTTCTACTGCCTGCGTGTCCTAAATTTTTGCGTGAAGCCATTCCCTGTAGCTGCTTCTTGCAAATGCCTGTTCACTAGGAGGTATATTATCTGCTGCCCCTGAGCAAATAATTGATCATCTTCTTTAGTGATGAATTCCAGTCTTTTCTGATCATCAGCTTCAAATATCTTCACATCATGGGTAAAATAGATAGCAGARGTTTTGAGCTTTTAAAGTGAAAGCAGTGTGGTGACTTAAGGCAAAATTAAAAAGGCATGATGGAGGAAACGCAGGACAGAACGGATAGGACATAATTTGCCATTAAGTCAGTTTTTTTCCCCCCTTTCCAGGACCGAACTCGCTCAGAGGGACCCTGCTCTTGGCCCAAGCGGGAATTGGCGCTCGCTGCCGCTGCCTCCTTGAGCGGTGCCTGGTGGCCGCGCTGGCAGCGGCCCTGCGGGCGGGCGGCAGGGGACGCCATTCCCGGCCGGGCCATTCCCGGGCCTTTTCCGGGCCCTTCCCGCCGAGCCCGGGCCATCGGCGATCGGTGCGGACCCGCTGCACTCCGTGCGTGAGGCGAGGCGCGGGGCCAAGCCCTGCAGTGGTGTTTAAAACGATGCCCGCCGAGCACACACGTCCCGCACGTAAGCGCGGAGCGGCCCCGCCGTGCTCGGAGCGGCCCCGGCGGGCTGAGGGCAGGGACACACCGCGGTGGCTGGCGAGAGCCTGAGGGATCACGGACACGGACTCCTGGAGAAGGACGCCCGACCCTTTCCTGACGCGAAATTAGCCCGAGAGCTGCTGGAGGTCCGTCTTGCTAAACTCTCCTAATATACACATTTTCTGAGCTGTGATCTAGCATTATTCCCAGGGGTTCTCCAAGAAAGGAAGTKGAGAATGTTCTTTTCAAAAGCATGAAGTGGGAAAATGTTTAGAACTATTTATAGCTCCACTTAGGCTGTGGAAATCCCAGACATTATAAACTATTTATAGTTATTCTCTGGGTTAAAAGGGTGAAGTCAGAAATCTTATTGAAAAAGTTGCATATGCTTCTTATCCATCAGTTAGATTAAATGAGACTTCCGAGCGCGGGATGGGGCCGGCTGAGATTGATGAAAACTAGGAGGTGAGGAGAGACACTAATTCAGTGAAACACACACACCATGTTGCAGAAACTGGAAGGGGTTCCTGCGTGGGCCCTGTGGCACCTGTGGATTTTGCCCAGTGCCAGAGGGTGGTAAGGATATACACACTCTTTAGCCGTGGCTGCTGACAGCAGGTTAGTCTTCCACTGTCACAGACTTCTCCTGGCTGTTAGGGCAAGCCCATGCCAGCCTGCCACTGTGTTAGAGCTGCTGTCTCTACCTGCTTTGGCGTGTCAAATATCTTCCTGCTTTTCATCTTTGAGATGGACTCTTTCATGGACCCTTTCTTCAGTGCACTCACTGAGGCATCAGGAGTCACCTGGTACCATTAGGGGCATTATTTTGTACGTTGTGGCCATGCTGCCTCAGCAGCTCCAGCAGCAGGGATCGCCTGCCTGGAGATGGCAATGGGCTGGGCTGTAGGAATRGTTCCTCGGGCTGGCTGGGGCCTCCCGTCCTCACAGCACCTTGGTGACAGACTACATTTCAAAAACAAATCATCCCTAAAACTTTTTCTGTTTTTGTCAAAATTTGGACCAAGCCTGCATTTGCCATAAGTAATTAAAGAACTTCATAGGAATATCTCTTTACTGAGAGTTGAACATAACCAGCAGATGCAAATTGACATCTAACAAAAAATGTCCTGTATAACCTGAGGAAAACGCTGAAATGCCACTCATTAGAACAGAAGTATATCAACAACACTGTTAGTGTAACTAAACATTTAAGGGGAAGCTTTTCTTACTGTAACCTGCATAATGTCAAACATGCAATCCCAGTGATATTTGCTCCAACTGCTGTGTTTCAGTGATGAAGTGTCAAAACCAACTCTCTGTAAAACTCCCCAAGCCAAACATCATAAAGCATTACTGCTATTATTAAAAAAAATTCTCCTGTCATCCAACACTTTTTGCCCTGCCTGACTAGTGTCTTTCAATTAGTATCACTGATAAATGAATTATTTCAAGTATTGAAAGAAGTATCTTTTAGTATCTTCAGAAAAACTCACTTTTCTTTGAATAGTGGTTTTAAATATCTCATTTCAAAGGGGACTTGTTTATCATTTTTGCTCTAAGCTTTGCTTCTCTTTGGCCCTGCCTAATGCTGAAATTTGTGCCGGTGTCTTTAAATCTAGTATCGTTTGCAGTTTGCCATGGTTTTAGGTTCAGCAAAGAGCTGCCAAATGGTGATGCCACTAATTGGGTAGACAGTAACTTCTTACTTAAAATGGATTTTTGCTTGCTAGTGTTTTTGTTGRTCCTTCCAGCCTTTTGGATGAGATGTGTGGGTGTCTAGATTGCCCTGCATTCTGTCTGCAATTAATGAATAGAAACACGGGGTTTACAAACAAAYATGGTCAAATTACCTGCTTATTCTTCTGTTATCTTACCCTGCTTTTTCCAGCTTGGCTTTATTTCTGTAGCGACCCACAGTGGAGTGTACAAAAACATTTTTTGGAGTAAAAATAACCTTGGAAGTAAGGTATCCTTTTTTCCCCCCTCCTCCCTCTTCAGGGGTAACAGGCATTTTAGATGACACTGCAATTACATGTTGAAGTACACACAGAGTAACTTCACCAGGTGAAAGAAGAAAGCCCTAGAGCTTAACTTCAAGCACTCCTGCCTTTACTACCCTTCATGGTATGAAGGGCTGATGACCAAAGCTGAGGTAAAGTTGGAGTTTGACTAAGTCAAACTTCAAGTTAGGAATGAGTTGAGTTTAGGATCTAATTTGTCACAACTGGCATTTTGATAACTTCATAAATCATTTTATTAATACTGCCACGACTCTCTTAATGATTCGGCAACATCCCACAGCAAAAAACCCAAACCTTCAGATTTAAAAGGTTGCAGATAAACTTCTGTTTTAATAGACAGACCTACCAGACGGCATCTTTTATTGGCAGTAATTCAGCCATTTACTGTCTAATTAGCAGCCACAGGTACATTAATCAAGTATTCTCTATGACAATTGTGGGTGCTTCTAAAGGGTATTTTCAAACTTACTTCTTTTATTGCAGTGTGCCTCCCTTCTTTGAAATCACAAATTCATCAAGAGGTAATTTTCTTTCCCTAAAAGACAAAAACATGTTTTACAGCAAAACATTTTAAAAAACCAGCACAACAGGATGTAAAATAAATAGCATCATTTGTCCRTAACCCACTAGCCTGTTCTGCAGGAGCACTAGACAGACAGGACTAGTGCTGATTCAGTTCATGTGTAGGTCTTTCTCCTTAKTAAGGAGACTACAGGCCAAGGATGAAGAACCTCTGACCCTCTAAARTATGGAAATAAAATTTCTCATGGAATTTTCTAACTTACAAAATGTAGCTATCTGTTTTCAGGTGTTCAGTTACCTGAATCATGACAATGATAATGGGATGAAAATCACCTGTGAAGAGGCAGATATCAGWACTTTCCTTGAACAGGTCATACAAAAAAAGCACAGCTCTGCAAGTCATAAACGCACATTGCTTCTATGTACCCATATTGATATTCTGCAGAAAGAGTTTGTTAAGTCTGTAGCTGTAGCTGGATTCAGTGGCTCAGTGTACAGATTATCTCAATATCAAACCCACAGTGAAGCAGTGTTTTACGTCACTGACTACCAGTAATAGCAATGCAGAAGCAGAGGTGTTGAGTTTAAATGTCAGCCATGACCTGAAGCTCTCAGCATTTTCCCACACTCAATTTGCAACATCCAGTTTTCCTGAGAGACCCCTCTATTTGTACATTCTTGTATAAATTGGGATTGGACATTTGTACACCATTTTTTTTTTCTGTGTGTTGAAACCGGCAAGTCTAGTTTAAGAATATTTAGTTTTAATAGGGAGTAAAGTAGCAATCTTTTTAATGAATTGCTGATTTTACAGAGTCTAGCTACTAAGCTAGAATTGAAAAAAAGAGAAAACCACTGATATGAGTAAATTGTATTAGTTACAATATAACAGAGAACTTGTTCTTACTTTGAAAAAGCAAAKATTTTCTTACCTCTAACTGAAGTTAATTATGTCAAAAATATAAAAACAAAAAGTTATGAAGTTGAGATCAAATATGGCTTTGGTTATTTATTGATAAGTTCACTGTAACACTATTCTTTGATTAATTGGAAAGAATTCTGGTATTATTTGAGATATAAATAGTAGTATTAATCAGTAGCTACCACTAGCTATTAAGAAAATGGCTYCTGGGTTAAAAAAAGAAAAGTATAATTATTTCAAGTACTGAACAATTTCTAGCTGTTACAGGAATGTATAATTAAGAATGAGACAGGAAAGTTTTCTAAAGCTTATTCATTAGGGGTGAGGTACCCTAATCTGTAGCACTGAGTCTGAGCATGTGGCAGTAGTGGCTCTGCTATAAGGAACACAYACCCAGTGAACACTAACAAATGAAAAAAGCACTCAGTAGTGATTTCTCAGCCAGAGGCTTCTTAGTTGTGTTTCAGCTTATTGCTGCCTGAGTCCACRTGCTGTGGAATGGCTCTCACTTGGAAAGGTTGGATAGCTCCAGTGAAATTTGTTTCTCAAATCAGCCACCAAGAAATGGCATTGCAGGAGGGACCATGGTGTGCCACTGACAACCATGGTCCTGTTTGCATCTCAGCATGTGAGAGAAGTATGCCATTTCAGCTTTCCCTGGGACAGGAGCACAGATCTTTTTTTGAATATGGGCACAGAGAGGGTTGGCAACTGTGTTGGGAGGACTTGCAAGTGAGCAAGCTCTGCTACTCATTGCATGCCACAAAGAACAGCTCATGGCAGCTGTGCCAGGAAAGCATACAGAGCTGACCACTTTACTAGTAATTTCCTGCTGTTATGTACTCATTTCATAGTCTGGTCCATGGAGAGAGATAGGTTTGTGCTATTGACATTGGAAAGCATGTTCTCAGCAGCGTAGGGAGAACATAAAAATAAGGAAGACACCCCTTATTTAGTGCAGTAGTGCTGGGACCACAAAGTTGAATTGCTAAGATTATTTGGATGCAGACTGCCACCTCCAGGGTTGGAAAGATGATGGTCAGTTAGAATAGGTATTCTGAAGATTCAACCAACACTATTTCAGGTTGTGACTATGACAGTCACAACTGAAGATATAGCAGATTTAGCTATTACTAGTTTTTTTGAACTGTCACAGCCACAGATGCAACACACATCTTACTTGCTACCCTGACCAGATGCAGTGGTCATCATCAGGATGTTGTCTCTCTGCAATAATTGCAAACCACTGTAGATCATCATGCCCATCACTGCCAGCTGGTTTTGGAAGGTGCATAGTATCTTATATTGCTGCCTGGCAACAAAAATGCCAGGAATTATCTGGAATTGGTGCCATCAAGATTGAGGAAGTCACCATGCCATTCAGCAAGATTGTCCAGACTCCACCAATTCCTACTTAATTTGTTTTTAAATCAGTATAAACTTTTAACATCCACTAAGTTCCACAGCTTGATTCTATGTGCTGTGAAGGGTAGCACTGCCCTCTCAGCCATCTCTTTGGAAGGCAGGAGACTCCCTAGTTTATGCAATCATTTCTCATACAGAGGACACTTTGTAGGTTTGACTTTGCTGCCCTTCCCTAAACCTTCTCAAATGCCCTGTATCTGTTTACACAGAGGGAGAACAGAACTGAATACCTGTGTGCTTAGAAATGCAAAGGAAG